TGATGATGAATTAATTGATCTCATTGAATTGAATGTTTGATTTAGAGTGAACTCAGAAGATTTGAGAGGGAGGATGCTGAGGAAGAAGATGAGGGCAAAATTGTAAATTTAATAAATTAAATAATTATATTTGTTTGATTTGGTGGTTCGGATTTTAGCCACGTCATTTATTTATCCTTGTTGGTAGTTGATGTATTAAATATTTGTACATGTCACTTTCATTCCGTCAGTTAATAAGCCACCTCAGCAAAAATTTGATGGAAAGACTAAATCGGGATCAAAATGGTAAACAGTAAAGATTAAATCAGGGATTTTTTGAGTTGAGAGACTGAATCAGAAGTCCGTATAGTAGTTGAGGGACCAAAAATGAAGATTTAACCTTGATTCAAAGACTCATTCGACTTAAACGGTAAACTCTACATTCTAAGGAAGTTCCCTTTGGGCCGCTGCATCACATGAAGTACATGATGTATGCCCTCTGGAGGTGAGCTAAAGGTGGAGAAACACAAGGGGAAAGTGCTGCAAATTGAATCCAGCCCTGAATAGCTTGATAGCTTCCATGAGGGTCACTCTAGGATTGTCTAGCTCCGTACTCTCCTAGAACTGATCTGATAACTCTGCAAATCGGGATAAATGTGGACTCCAAACCAGTGCGGTCCCTAGGAAGAAAAGTTAAAAGTAAAATGTCCATGCGTTAGGGCACAACCAGATATCCAACAGCAAACACATACATGAAATATGATTTGGAATTTGAAAGTGGTATGCTCCATCAACGGCATACTACAAAACACCTCCATCTTGTCTTTACACGTGGCTCCATAAGATGTCAGAATGATGTATCATTACGTACCTTCTTTTGAATGTAATCCAAGTGGGCCATATCTAATTCAGAAATGATGAAGATCTAGCCCTTTTTGATATTATAAAAAAAAAAAAAAAAAAAACCCCAGGACGATTCGATTTGATCCAGTGACAGTGAACCATGGATTAAGACGGTTCACTTTATTTGGATTCTATGTTTGAGTCCAATAAAAACTTTTTTTTTATTTTTTAATTAATTTGTAAATAATTACAATATATTAAAAAAATTAAAATTTTTTTATGTATAAATTCTTTTTCTTTTAAAAAAATTTTTTAAAAAAACCCATTGCCTCACTATTAAAATTTTTCTTCTTCATCTTCTCTGTAATTCAGAATTATTAAAGTGATTTTATTACTTGTATCTCTAAGTTTAACATTTCATTTGTAATTCATATATATTTTTTGATGAAACTTGTATTGGTTTTAAATATTAAAGGTTAATGTATATATGTTAATTGTAAAGTTTTATTTTATTGATTTGTGATACCTGACAATTGATGAATGCCTAGTCTACAAGAACTTTTTGGTGATTATTAATTCAGACTTTTTTTTTTTTCTTGTTTGTAAGTAAAGATCAAATTTTATTATGATAAAACATAACTTAGGTAACGAACAATATTTTTGAGAAAGGAAAGTGCAAAAAAAGAGTAACTAGGTTATTAATATACGGGACAACTAATTTATCTCATTTGTTTGTATAACTTGACGTGTTATTAAAATTATTGGTTCTTTTAATTCATATGAAACTCGTAATATTAAGTACATCTACTCATTTAATAACATATGAAAGTTGTATAAAAAAATAAGATAAAAAAGTTATCCATATAGCATGACCCTTAATATACAAAACAAATGTTTTACTTCCCAAAATATAAACTATTAGATTAAAATGGAACACTTAATAATGGAAAGGCGCCTCTATCAAATAACTGGTTTAGACTATAAAACATTGAATTTAAGGGTGACTATTTCCCTCCATTCTTGCAGGCGAGGATTGTGGGCATTTTCCCTCAATTTATGCAAAAAATTTTCCCTATCCATTGGGATCCCCATTACCTGTAAAAAATTAAAAAAAGAAAGAATTAATTTCATTTTAAATTTATCCCAACCCAATGTATTACAATACAACTCAAACCCAACTCCATAGAAATTAATTTTAACCACCGATGAGCGTAAGTGAATGAGTTGGTTGGGATTTTTTCAGTTTAATCAGAGATCTTGAGTTCAAGCCCTGAGAATGCAGCTCCGTTAAAACTCATGAGGGAGAGCTTTGCCACCCATTGAGTCCTACCCGGTTCGAATCTGGATTAATCAGTGGCCTAATGGGCTTCTGGATGCCGGATGGTCATACCAAAAAAAAAAAAATTAATTTTAACCCAATTTTACTTTAACTCAAGCTAGTGACAGAGCCGAGAAATATTTTTAGAAGTGGAAAAATAAAATTATAACTAAAAAGGATTGTTTTGTGTGTTAATTTAAAAAGTCAAAAAAAAAAAAGTTAGTCTATAACGATAAATTAATAACAGCAGATAATGTTTTATCAAAAAATAGTAGTTGATAATATAATATAGAAAGCATTAGTTGAAAGATAAAGACAAATATATATTAAGTAGAATAATATATACTATAAACAAAGAAAATAGAAGTAAATAAATTCATGAATGAATATTTTATAAAAAAAATGATAATAAACAATTTTTATTCAATTAATTTTTATTTTTTCTCATATTTTATATTTTCTTTATTTTCTTCATCTTTCTCATAATAACTAATTTTTGAAAAAATAAGGGTTGATTTAATATTTTATTAAAAAAATGATAATAAACAATTTTTATTCAATTAATTTTTATTTTTTCTCATATTTTATATTTTCTTTATTTTCTTCATCTTTCTCTTTATCTTTATCGTAAAAAGTAATCTTCAACAACATAAATACTAAAAAAATGATTAAAATGGTATGAAATAAGAAAGGATAAAAATGACAAAAATAAAATGTAAAGTACCAAACTAAATTTTTTACAGAAGTTTAGGAGGGGGCCTATGCCCTCTCAGGTCCCCTTTGGCTTCACCAGTGACCCAACTCATATCTATGTCTAGTCTTAGTCGATCTTATACTCATCACTCAATGACTTAATTTAGCCACTATTGACTCACACTCACTCTTTTTGTTTTTTCGACCTTTGCCTTTCTCCTAAGCCGAAGTCCCAAACATTCATATGTTGCTGCTGTGCTGAAGCCATCGAAGCCACTTGCTGGAGCTAGAATTGAACTACACTATTTTTGTTGGACTGCTATCAAATTTGGACTGGTGTTGGACTGTTACCGAATTGCTGGAATGCTACTGGATTGTTGCCGGGCTGCTTCACCTAGATCCAAAGCTTGGTATTGTTGTTCTTCATGGCCCAAATGCTAACATGGCTTTAAGTTTGAAGCAATCTCTCTCTTTTTTTCCTTTTTTTTTTTTTTTTTTTTTTTTTTTTTGCAAAGCAATTTCTTCTCGAGGTTGGTACTTCACAAAAGTGAAATAAATTGATATGGATTAATCTAAAATCAAATATTTAGTTCATCGTTGACTATTCTTGAAGAATTTATACTTGATTTTATATTTAAAAAACTTTAGTTAATTGTGTTTAAACTCATAGAATTTTGTTCGTTGTATTTGGATTTTAATTGATTATGTTTAAAGAATGAAATTCACATTTTAGTAAAGATTGATGATGAGTGGGAATCCCTACATGGAACGGATAGAGGCAAAATTGATCACCATAAAAAATTCTCATGGGACCCTGTTGCAAACCCGTATTGAATTCAACATTATAAATAATATAAATCGATATCATTATATTATCACATATTACCAATAATTTTGATTATCAAAAAAAAAAAAAAAAAAAAATGTACAGATATAAGGATTCGATAATTGGCATCCCTAATTAGAAAATCATTAGGGCCTACTTTAAACTATATGCTATTTCTGTCATTGCTTCAAACCCGAACTTAATTTATTAACCATAGCTAGTAATTTATATCAAATACAATCACACTTCTATCCTTATATAAGATTTATAATGTGAGGGCAGATGTGAATGTGTTATATAAAGGATGCCAAAATTTTTTAACTGTTTTGAAACACAATGTTTTATCATTTTCTTCATCAGGTTTGCCAAATAACTTTGTTGTGCAAAGCTTATTGTCAGAGAACATTATCTCCAGCTAAACACAAATGAAAAATCCCCAGCTCTCTTCTTTCTTTTGTTCCAGAAATCTTGATGATTCCAACTAAACACTAACGCAATCTCAATATCCTAGATTTCCAATTCATTCGAAGAAAAATGTACATTATTACCACCCAAGCCTCAAAATTCTTGAGATTTCCCTAACGACTTTTCCTGTGGCAAAACTCATTCCTCATAGAGGATTATATTATCTTCAGCTGGACAGACAAAAAAACCAAGGCTTGCTTCATTCTTTGGCCCCATAATCCCAAGAAAAGGTGCAGATAAAGATAGTCTACAAATTTTGCTATTTTTTCTATTTAAGGGCACAATATTTTTTCAAATTGAATTTACCTTGCAGAAATCTTTCATAAACAATGTTCCTTTGAAGCATGAAAGTAGTCTCAAAATCACAGAATTTGAATTCCTAACATGAAACAAGAAGATCAAAATATATAAGAGAGATTAAATTACTCTTCTTTTATTGATTGTATATATCTGGATTACATCCTGTAATTACAGGGGAAGATCGACACACAGATTGTCGATCCAAATTCCTCTACTACCGCTTTATAATTACATTAGAACAACAAAAAGATCACCGAAAGAGTTTTGATTGATCGCATTATGCAATCATTCAGAATGATCATCAGAGAAAGAGAAACGGAAATCTCAAATACCACGAGTTGCCCATCAGATTTCACAGAAAGCAAGAAATTTTATCGAACAAAAAAGGAACCTATTCAGTCCCGAAGGAGAGAGAACGAACCGCGGCAGAGTCATTACACTGGGAGATGGACGACATCGGTGGGAGGAGCGGTGGAAGCAGAGACGGAAGAGGAGATGGAGGAGCAATTGGTGAACATGAGAGGGCGGTCGTGGGCCTCGGAGTCCTCGATGTCGTCGGAGGTGGAGAGGTTGATGCAGGAACAACGCTCGAGCGATGCGAAGAAGGCGGTGGCGACGCTGGTGCCGACCCACGACGCCATGATCGACAAGCATCCGCTCTGATTTTCCATTTTTTTCACCCTTTGAGGATGAATCGAATTACGATTTTCGAACCATCGCTGATTATTTAGGGATTGGAATCCAAACCCTAGAAATTGGGGTTGGGATAGGAAAGCGGAGGAGATTTGATCAACGAGGCCGAAAATTTTTCTGCATTTTATACTTGCCACGTCAGCTATTTTGCTTTTCCCGGGTTTTTCTTTAGTTAGAGCTGGGGAAAATCAGTTCCTAACCGTTGAAATTTCAGAAATAATAATAGAGTAAGGAGGACGAAAAATCGTGAGATGAAAATTT